TAATATGATATTATAAATAAAATCTTAATAAAAAATTAATTATATTATAATACTTTATAATTATAAATTTATAGTACCATATGATATAATTATATTAATTTCACAGAATTAAAGATATCACTAGATTATTGGCATTTTTTTACTGAAGCTATTTCAGTTCATTTGTGTCCAACCTCTTTCTCGTACTTGGCAAACAATGAGACTTTTTTTTTTGGGGGGATAAACTAATAGCAATAATAATTCAACAAGGTGCGTAAGGCCACAAATGGACCGCAGCTGTATCATATGGATTACTATTAATTTCAAAAAGTGCTAATGGGCTATTGAGGTCCACACACAACCAAACATACTAAGTTCTAACACAAATTGGAAGGAAGGAGCCGGAAGAAAATCTTTAAATTTTGATTGTTAATTTACAATTGAAAATAGTTTTGTGAAAGCCCCTCAAATTCTGTCCAATATAATTCCTATTAAGGATAATCAATTTAATTATAGAATTAGAGCTGAGAGTAATGAGTCTCCTCTCATAGGCAAAAATGTTATGGAACATTATTCTAATCAATTTTCAGTCCTATCTTAGGTAACACTACAAACAAAGTGCCCTGTACCAACGGAAGTCTATACTAATGGACAAGAATCTGTCTGTATAAAACCATGTATACCAACAGAAAATTAGAGCAGTCAGTATACATTGGTCTATACCGATGGAAAAATATAACTGTTTGTATAGAATAGGTTTATACAAACGGTTAATTGATTATCCGTTTGTATAGATATAATCTATACAAACGGATTACTGTATTTTGTCAGTATAATTCACTGTATTTGAAACGCTTTTTAATTTCAACCGATCGCACTGCAACAATCATTTCACTTCCCTCCCTGTATTCCCAAATCTCCCTCTCGAAATCCCTAGCTTCCCTCTCCCAAATCTCCATAATTTGTATTTGATTTTTTGATAAAACTCAAAGACCCATTTAGCCGGCAGTAGAAGTTTTCACTTCCCTCCACAAATTCCCAAATTTCCCTCCCGAAATCCCTAGCTTCCCTCTCCTAAATCTCCACAATTTGTATTTGATTTTGATAAAACCCAAAGACCCATTCAGCCGACAATAGAAATTTTCACTTCATTCCACAAATTCCCAATTTTTTCTCCCTTAATCCCAAGCTTCCCTCCCCAGGTAGACCTAGGTGTTTCGCCCCTCTCCCAAATCTACAAAATTTGTAATTGATTTTGATAAAACTCAAAAACCTAAGTGCTTTGGTTCCCATCCAAGCAGTCCGCCCCCTCGCCCTTTTCTGCATCCACAACATCACCTCCAATCACCACCTTGTCCCTAGCAACAGCCACATCCCCAGGGCCACCCTTCCCCACAACACACTTTCCAGATGCCTCCGGCTCCGAAACACTACCAACCACAACCTCGTCAAACCCATCAGGAAGCCGAGGCATTATGCCGATCAAAGCATCTCCCTTGGCGTTGTAGGGACTAGGATCTTCTAGGCAGACAAGTTCTTCATCATCATCATCATTGGCATCGAAGAGCTTGGCTTCATGGCAGAGGCAACTTTGGCATCTCCCTTGGCATTGTAGAGACTTTGGGGTGCGCAACAAACTTTTTGTCCATTCTCCAAAGAGAGCAAAGAAAAAAAAATTACAGGATCTCTCTCAGGTAGCTCTCTCTTCCTCACTAATTTTGCAATTAACTCTGTTTTTGTTCGATTTTGTGTTCTTCTCGTTTAAGCTAACTATGTATGGCGATCTACGATTTGGCGCGTTGTTGTCTTAGGGTTTAGGTCATGGCGTCGAAGCGGTTCTTGAAGGAGCTCAAGGATCTCCAAAAAGATCCTCCAACCTCTTGCAGTGCAGGTTCAATTCAATTTCAATCTCTTTTATGTTCGATTTTGCATTT